ACTGACCAGTAGCTTACCTATTTAATAGAAGGGACCGCATCTTCAAAGGGGTCGGCTCCCTGTTACCATATGTACATACACAGGCCAGGTGTCATGGAAGTGGTTCAAACTCACGGATTCCCCACGTTTCAGAATAAAACTGCTCCCCGGGGCTTGGTCACTGGGACCTTTTAGAAGGGCCTTTCTTTCGAGGTAGCTCAGCAGGAAGTCGCACGGCCACCCTTTGGGTTAGAAAGGAAGCGAGGAACTGCATGCACCACCCAGGACTCCTTGACAATGGAATGATGAACTTGGAGAGGCGACATGGCCAATGCCCAGGTTGAGTTTATTTCATGGAAGGGGGAAATAAAAAAAAGACGTGATTTCTCTGGACACCAAGCAGTGACTAGCACTTTCATTTCTCTTCCATCACATCAGACAAATATATTTTAGGGGGGTGGGGGGAACACACATCAACAGAAAAACACCAAAACATAGCCCCAATGCCCCTTAAATTAGCAGATTTAGAACAAAATCTTAAAGCAACATCCTGTTAAGACTTTTTGATTCACTCTACTTACAAATTAAAATTACATTTAAAAAGATGCCGATGTGACTGGCAGGGTCGCAGGCTACTTTGCTTTATTCTGGTTTCCTATCTGGATATAAAACTTTTAAAGCTTTCTTCAGCAAAAACCGAACTTTCCTTTTCTGCACATTGTATTTTATCCACTGGGTTTCCATGTTTGTGCTTGTCTTCTCGGCTTCGTCTGACAAGGGGCACATCCCTTTGGAGGGGTGCTGTCTGATGGGGCACTCACCATAGACTTACTCAGGGAACGAAAGTCTAAGAAATGACACGAGTAGGTTAATCCTTTGGTTCAACTTCTTTAAAAAGAATCAATAGATAGGGCTTACACATCAATGGTAATTCTTCTATTTGGTTAAAAACAAATCCACCAGGTAGATTGCTAATTACAATCCAACACTGCTTTCAAAGTACCACCTCGCACTTCTCGGCTCACTGCTCATGAAAGCCACTGTTCACAACTGGTTCGACATGATGCAGGTTACAGTAAGGCACAATGGATGGTACAAATAAGAACAAATACTTTAGGACCGTTTTTTTTTTTGTTTTGTTTTGTTTCCTGCACGTACTAAAATAGGTACCGTTTCTCCATGATAAAATTACAACAACAAAAACAGGAAATACATAATCTTTGTTACGAAAGACCTATACAAAACTTTAAAAATTTACACCATCTGAGCTGCCAAAAAAAAAAAAAAAGGATTTATAAAAGTGTCAGTTTTTGCTTCCACACATAACAACCCTCTCTCGCCAGTAGGTCCAAGAGAACTTGGGCCCAAAATGTTCCCGCACATTCGGAAGGAAGGGGGATAAAACTTCCCCTTCCTGGTCACTCCCCTCCCCCCACCTCACACACACACACACACACACACACACACACAC